GAGGGTGCAGGGCCGTGATCCGCGCGGACACAGCTCCTCTCCCTTGAAGAGGAGGCGGGGGGCCGAAGTGGCCAGCGATGGTGCTGCCACTGCGGAGCTCGATACATGGCGACCTTTGGCGTGTGCGTCGAGATGATTAACCGCGCAGCCAAGCCGCCGCAGGCGTGGCACCTACAGGCCATAATCCCCGAGGAGGGCACCAGGGACCTGAATGCCCTGCCGCGGGCGGACAAACTCAAGAAGGCCAGCGTCGCGGTGATCAACCCGGCGGATGCGCTGCAACACCTTCCGCATGGCAGCAACACTCTCCGTGGGGTCACCAACGACCGCGGCCCCCCTGATCCCGATGACGATCACGACTCCTTTCGACTTGCTGGGTCCACGCTCAGGACCCTCCGCGAGGAGGCCGCCTCACCATGGGACAGCGACACCACAATCCCGCCCTTCGTGCGGCCATAAGAAAGCAACTAGCTACTCCCACCCACCCCCACCGCACAGTTACCGCTGGCCCAAGTGGAACGCGGTGTCATGCCACGGATTGCGGTGCCACCAACGTTGTGCCTTGGGTCGTCCACGAATCCGACCCCTTTGGCTTCAGACACCCCGCTCCGGTCGCCACTGTCCCCTTGGCCACGGCTGTCGACCCACCAAGCCTCGACACCAATTACGCCGCGACCCACGCCAGAGTCCAGGCTCTCGTGCGCCGCCAACAGCACTTGCAACGCTAATGCGACGACGAGGCCAACCACGCAGAGGCCGCCAGCGTCGCCCTCGCCAACGCACACTGCTCCCTCCGCGGAGACATGCCACGGCAGGCCGAAGTCCAGGCTGCCCTCCACCAAGTCTGAACCGAGCACCGAGCCACTGGCATCTCGGCGCCCGCCCGGGCCTCGCGCACCGCGGCGTTTCACTCCAAACTTCCAACGTGGGCCCACGGCGGCGCTGCCTGGCTCGACTCGGCACGCCGTCCACCTTCCGCACGAGTTGCTGCGCGAAGAACCGCCACATCCGGGAAGGCACCCGTTCGCCCCTCCCGCAGGTACTCCAAGGCGCGCTCCCGGGCCGCTCGGGGTCTCGGTTCCCTGCCACCAGTCGGGCGCCCTGCCCGCGCCTGGGGTCGTCCTCTGCCCACTCTCGGCCAATATGCTTGCCCTAGCCACAACGGCTCGGCGCATCGGCCGCGAGCGCGCGCGAACCTGGGCCATCTCTCTCTCTCTCTCTCTTTCTCTCTCCGGGACGACCAAGATGCATGGCGGGAACCGCCAATGATATCTTGCCTACATGTGTGACTGTGAATGTCTCAGGTGCGTGTGTGCGTGTGCACCCACATGTATACACTGTATGCGACTTTTGTGCAGTAGAAAAGAGATAGAGAAGGCGATCCATATACGTATAGGTATACATATATATATACATATATACACATATATCGAGAGAGACAGAGAGAGAGAGAGAGAGAGAAAGAGAGAGAGAGAGAGAGAGAGCGATAGAGAGAGAGAGACAGGGAAAAAGAGAGAGAGACAGAGAGAGAGGGAGAGAGAGAGAGAGCAAGAGAAATAGAGAGAGAGAGAGAGAAATACCAATATTAATAGAGATACCCTTATTTTTATATATATATATATATATATATATATATATATTATATATGTGTATCTATACACAAACAACTACATGCGTACATACATCTGTACAATCACGCAAGACTGCATTGGCGCTTCGCGCCATGCTCTTTGGTCCGTGAAGTTTGGTGTGCAGGCAATATGGCAAGAACATCGAACCGACAACTTCGCGATAACACCTTGCTGCCTTTTCCAGCGTTGCCGTTATAACAATTATATTCGTGTTCCTTCCTCCATGTTTCTTTCCCACATTCTCGCCACACCTTGCGTATTCTCCCATCCTCCTCAATTCTTTTTGCTTGGAGAACCTCTGGGGGCCCCACACAAGTTTTTCAAGCTTTCTTAAGTCCCTCTGGAGGCCTCCTGGGCGTCTTCTGGGGGTTTCCTCGGCCACCCTGCCTCCAACCGCGGTCTAACTGAACGACCGGGTCACAAATTGGAATGCTTCGGGGGGTGTCTTGGGGCCATCTTGGGCCGTCATGGGGCTCTGTTAGACCATCTTACTGCCTGGAAGCCCTTTTGGATGGCTGTGGGGCAACTTTCGATCCTCCCAAGCGGCTTCGGACGCCCAGAAAACCGCCTTGGACCGTCGGATAAACGAAAACAGGAGAACCCTCAAATTCACCACAACCTATCCGGAAATAAATGAATTGTGCCTCTTGGGGCCTACTTGGAAATGCTTTTGGAGGCCTCTTGGGACGATCTGGAACGATCTTTGGTGGTATAACGGTTTCTTTTGGGTCGTCGTGAACTGTCTCGGGGCTCTCTGGGGTCGTTTCGGAGCGCGCCAGAACGCGTGGAGCGCTCTGGGGCCGTCTTCGGGCTCTCGTGGGGTTCTCCTGGGTCGCCTGGAGGGTTGCCCGAAAGGCCCGGGGTGGGCCAAATTCGTTAGGGTGTGTGTGTGTGTGTGTGTTTTTTTCTGGGGCCCCCGGCAGTACATGTGTGTATATATATATATATATATATATCCACATATACATATATATATATATATATATATATATATATATATATGTATATATACATATACATATACATGTATGTGTGCATTTATATTTATAGAGACATATCTTTATTCATATGTGTGTATATGTATACACTTTTTTTTCGTCTCGGCAGCCGATCGGCCCCCGTCAATGTTGCTGTTAAATGCGTAGTTGTGCAGCCCACGAGATAGCTGCATCCAACCCCAGGACTTCAGCTTCAAAAGCGCTCCGCCCGGCATAGAACGTCGCAGCCGTGCCCGCTACGCGACTGTGCCAGCTGCTTCCATCATATGCCCAGAGAACCACAGCAAATGCGTGAGCAGAGCCATATCCTGAAACATGTCCTCCGTCCGAGAAGAACTGCAACGCACATCTTCCGTCGGCAACAGCTTCCGAAACTGATCGCAAGTCCAATGTATTGTGACCGCTTCTGTGCTTCAGCGCGAGGTTCGAGGCAGCATCCGCCAAGGTATTGTGAGCTCTCCGCCGCCACTGGACGAAATTGCGCCAGCCCGCCGGAGGCACCACACCCTTACCGAAACACACCGCCAACCGATTCATCATGCGCTCGAAAGCCATTGTGTACTCTGGATTGCTGCACGCGAAGAAGGACATCGCTTGGACATGAGAACGCCGAAGAAGTCGCAATAGCTCTGAACAAATCAATTTTTGGTCGCTTCCTGCATGCCTGGAGGGCTCCAGGCACTCAGGAAATCTTCGATCGTCGACCTTCTGATCTAGATCCATTGCCTGTCTCACTCGATCGAGGAGTTTGAGCCTCGAGCCTCAAGCGTGGAACAAAAATCGTCGGGTCAGCTCGGTGTACTTCGTAGGAAAACACAGTCTGGGCGTTTTTGGAGCTCTTTTGGGCCGTCCCGGGGCCCTCGTGGGCCGTCCTGGGCCCTTCTTGGGCCGTCTTGGCAAGGTGGGGCCCTCCAGAGGTCTTCGGAAACCATCTGGGGCACTCTTGGGGGCCTCCAGCCTTCCTGGGGGTCTACCATGGCTGTCGTGGGTCTCTCTTGTAAGCCTTCTGGGGGTATCTTGTGCTTCTTGTGGGCACTCTCGGGGCTCTCTGAGGCAGTCTTGGGGCCCTCTTGGGCCGTCTTCAAACCCTCCTGGGGGTCCTCTCAGGCCGTATTGGGGCGATATCGGGGGCCCATCGGGCCGTCTTGGACCCTGCGAAGACCAAAACAAATATATGCTAAAAATCGGAGGTTGGGGGGTGAGATCGAAGTAGAACGGAGAGCCCCCCACCGGGAAATCGGTTTCGGTTTCGTGTTCGTGCGTGCCGTGCGCGCGGGCGAGGCGAAGCTGCGTGGGCGGGCGAGAAGAACGTCTCCTGTGGCTGAGGCGCGGCCGGACCAAATGATTCTGCCTCCGGCAAGCGGTGGCCCGCGGTGTCCCGCCGGTGTCCGGCTTGTGGCTGGGTCCCGGCTGGACCAAATGATTCTCCCTCAAGCAAGCGGTGGCCCGCGGTGTCCCGCCGTTGTCCCGCAGGTGCCCCGCCGGTGTCCCGCTGGTGCGAAAACGATGGTGAGATCGATGACGAAATCGATTGTGAGATCGATAGTGAGATCGATAGTGAGACCGATCGTGAGATCGATCGTATATCGATAGTGAGATCGATAGTGAGATCGATAGTGATATCGATTGTGAGATCGAGTGGTATCGATAGTGAGATCGATAGTGGGATCGATAGCGAGATCCAGAGTGAGATCGACAGTGAAATTGATCGAGTGAGATCGGTGGTGAGATCGATGGAGTGAGATCGATAGTGGGATCGATGGTCCCAAGAGCGAGCGGCAACGCAACAATCACCACTGTTGCCTATTGCTGGCCCCTTCCCTCCCCAACCTCCTTATCACACGCAGGGTGGTCGTATAGGTATACAATTTCCTGAGGGGATGGGACGATGTTTGCTTCTTCGGGGCTCTCTTAACGGCCTCTTGGGGCGTCTTCAGACCATCGAGGTTCCTTCTGAAGCGCTCTTGCGCTATTTTGGGTCTCTCTCGCGCCTCTCCGATGACCCTTCTGATCGCCTTGAGTCTACTCGCAACTTGCGAGTGGACTCAAGGCGATCAGAAGGGCCTTGCGAGTCGCAAGGCCCGGTAAGGCGCCCTAGGAGGCCCGGAAGGGCCAGCGGACCTTTTCCAAGGGCGTCCAGGGGGCCGCCGGGACGTCCGAAAGGGCGTCCGGGGCGTCCCTGGGGAGGGGGAGGTCCATTTTAGGGGTGGATGTGTGTGGGTGGGGTGGGGTGGGGTTCCAGGTAATAAAAAGATAGGAACAGGAATATGCAGAGCGAGAGAGAGAGAGAGCGAACGAACAACAAACAAAAACTGAGAGAGAGAGAGAGAGAGAGAAAGAGAGAGACGCAACGCGCAATTCGCTTGGCCGCCTCGACCTTCTTGGTCGCGTCTGCACTCGCTTTCTTCGGTCTCCTGTGGCCCGTGCGGACCACGGGCTCGCCCGTTACCATGACCTCGAGCAGCTGTCGCGCCTCTGGGCAGGGTGGCGGGAACCGCGCACGTCCGCGCACCTTCCCCTGCCGAGGGGCAGCGGGAAATGGGCGAGCGAGAGGCGGGGGAGGAAGAAAGGAGAGGGCTGTTGACCGTGCCGAGCAGGAGGATCGTGAGGAAGGATGGTGTGTGTGTGCGTGTGTGTGTGTGTGTGTGTGTGTGTGTGTGTGTCTGTGTGCGTGTGTGTGTGCGCGTGTGAGTGTGTGTGTGTGCGCGTGTGAGTGTGTGAGTGTGTGTGTGTGTGCGCGTGCGCGTGTGTGTGTGTGTGTGTGTGTGTGTCTGTGTGCGTGTGTGTGTGTGTGCGCGTGTGAGTGTGTGTGTGCGCGCGTGTGAGTGTGTGTGTGTGTGTGTGCGCGTGCTCGTGTGTGTGTGTGTGTAAATGTGCGCATTTGGCATGCCATTGTTTCTTCTGCGTGCGTGGCCTCCGACACTTTTTACTTGCATCCGTCCCCCGCTCGTCGGTCTGAACCCGCATCGGCACACGTTCCATGGTAATCGCTCGTAGCGCGTCCTGCTTCTGCCCTCGCTGCCTCGGACCAAGTGGCCGCACAAGAAACAACGCGTGCGCCCCACCTGGCCCTTCTCCAAGCGCCGCCTCGACTCCCTGTCTCTGGGCAACGCATGCTTCTGCCTCCCTCCCCCTCTCACTGCCCAGCACCTCCGTCTCCCCGCCTGCCCCTGGCCGCTGCCGGGGCGGCCCGCACTGTGCTCCGCCCTGCCCTGTCCCCTGGCCGTGTGCTGGCCGCCCTGCCTGCGCGCCCGCCCCTTGTTCGCTGCCCCCGGCCTGCCTCTCTGTCCCTCGGCCGCCTGCATTCAGCATGGCTCTCGCCGCCCCCGCTTGGTCGTCTCCCTCTACCCCTTAACCCTCGTGCCCCCTCGCGACGGCCCCCTCGCGAATGATGTTGTGCGGTCCCTTGTGGGTGGACCCGCCATCTCCCTGGCCGCGTGAGCTGGCCAAGCCCGCCCGCTGCTTTCCGCCCGACTTGGACTCCGCTGCTTCGCTGCGCCGCTGCGCGCATAGCCGCGACGCGAAACAGTGTGCGCGTGTGCTGAGTCCTGTCTTTAGCATATGTCTACAAACATCGATGACTATACTATGCGGTGTTCCTTGTAAATTTCCACCTCCGGCTGCAACCAACTGGCGCGTCCTGTGTGTGTGTGTGCTTGTGTTCGAGTTCGTACATCTACCGACGCCTCATCGCCAGCGCAATGACTCTGCCAAGCCGCTGACGCAACAAGTGTGTGTGCATGTTTGTGTGCATGTTTGTGTGCGTGTGCTGTGGTCGTGGCAGGCTGTGAGTGCAGCGCGGGCGCTCTGGGATGGTCACGTGGCCCTGAGGAGCCCAGCGAAGATTCACCAGCGTAGCGCTGTGACTCACGAGAGCAGTGTCGAGAATCGTTCAGGTGGGTACTGGCCGAAACTCTGATCAATTTACTATGTTGGCGTTCCCGTGGTCGCTTACCTGCCCCGATACGAGCGACGCAACTCAGTGCGCGTTGATACGGAACTCAAGACGTAGATAGGAAGCGTGCGCATGGCGCCGCACATTCGCCCAAACGTAGGCTGCCACGTGCTGAGCCAGTACGCAACGTGTTCAACCCGAGCACGGCACGTGCTTTTCAACACGGGTGCATATCAAGGCACCGTGTGGTCGACTTATTATTTGAAGGTAGCGTGCAACTTCCAGCCAGAATGTGGGTCCCCAACCCTCGTGCTCCGTGCAGCTCGCCGCTCGGAAAGCCCAGCAGTTACCTCTGCGCGCGGCTGGTGGATGGAGAGGGGGAGGGTGGGGCATGTAGAAAGAGGAGGGGTGTGCAGACGGAGAAGGCGGAAGCACCGTGGGCGGAGATGCCGCCAATGTGCGCTCTTGTGGCATCCAGTGGTACGGAAAACCCATCGGCGGCCTCGCGGGTTCGGCGGCCATGACTACTCGTGGTGGTAGCTCACGCTGTTGGTTTCTTGCGTACTCTGCCAGTTCCGCGCGAAGGCTACCACGTGGAGCACGCTCAACGAAGCCGAACACCTCACTCGCAAGGTAGAAGCGAATATCCTGACAATCTGAACGGGCCTCTGATGCCTTGTGCTGCGCCGCTGGCTTCGGGCAGTCTGTTCTGCGCGGCGACGGATGGGGGAGGGATGAAGCGAGAAGTAAACACACACACACACGACTGCGAGGTTGCAGGCGGGAGGACGGGGCGGGCAGGACGCAGCGGGCGGGCGGGTGACACAATGTGTCCGCGCTCCCGTGCGTCCATAGCCAAATTTCAAGCCTGCCTAGATGGCACATCGCCAATCACGTCCTGACCACGGATGCCTGGGACAACCGAGCCAGCAGCAAGCGCAAGCGGCCAGAGCTGTAACACATGAACCAACATGGGCTGCGGAGACATGCGCGCAAAGGGCCTTCGCTCAAGACCACGGTGTGGGGGCGACCATCAGCCCCAATAAGCGGGCGGCTGTCTTGCGCAGGAAAACTCGAACGTATGTTTGCATCTGACGCGACTGTGAAGCGCAGCACGTATGTATCGACGGTGAAGCTCAGCGGGTCCGACCTTTCTGGAGGAAGCTAATGGACATATGTAGTTACCCCAGTGGAGCAACCCTGCTCGCTACATGGTGCCCAACCGGCTCTGCGAATTCCAGTGTTCTTTTACGCTGATATCGTTGCCACTGTAACTGCGCAACGGCAATGTGTGGGCTAAATGCCCAACCTCGCAAGCACTTTCAGTTTGCTGCCTGGGACAGCACCGCTGTATACCAGATGCTGCAACTCGAACATGCGAGAGCGTGCGCGTCGCCGCCTTTCCTCCTCCTCCTCCTCCTTCTCCCGATTCCCGTTCTCCTATCTCTCCTCCGCCTTCACGTTCTTCACACACTCCTCCTCCTGCTCTTTCATCTTCTCCCTATCCTGCCTCTCCCCCTCCCTCGTCCTCGTCCTCTGCCGCCAGCGGCGTGCTGGGAAGCCCTCCAGCGCACGCCCTCATTTTGCCCAAGGATTGTCCTTACCCTGAGTGTAAGCCGCGATGGACGCTCGCGATCACTGTGCTTCCCAAAGGCGGTGACACCAGGAAAGAAATTGGGCCGGCAAACAGGGTCAAGGCGACCAACAGCCATAACTTCAAGTCTGTTCTTTTCGACCCTCCTCACGCTTATCACCCTTATCACCCTGGTCACTCTCCTTTCCCTCCTCCTGCGCGGTCTTGTCCTCCTTCTCCCCCTCGCCCCCCCCCTCCCCCCTCTTTCGAAGACTCCAACCCCAATTCCCTGGAGGACAATCTCAGCTGTACAAAAGCCCAGGATGTCACAACGTACTGTGTGCATGCCGTGGAATCCTCTTGGTGGAGGCCTCTTCGGAATCTCCCGGAAGGCCTTATGGCAAGCCTCCAGCCGTGGGGCTCTTTGGGTGTTTTGGAGGCTGCCCGGGGTGGTCTTCGGGTCAGTGGGGGAGTTTCTTTTTTGTTGTTATTCTCTCCTTTTTTCATTTTTGTTTTGTTTTGTTGTTTTTCTTTTTTTCAATGGGGGAGATGGCTATGGAGCCGTCTTGGAAAATCTACGGGCCTTCTGCGGCACATTCGCGTCGTGACGACCTGCGCCTTGGTTGCTGACGCCGCGTGAGTCTCTCCGCCCAGAGCGGCGCGAGGGCGGCCCCTGGATGCCAACCGGATGCCATGTTGACATGCAGAGCCTTCCTTCGAAACATGGCTCCCGTGACCGCCATAGGCTCCCAGGAGGCCCCCCAGAGGCCCCCAGCATGGCTTCGGGATTACCTTCATCAGTCATGAATCAGTCAGTCAGTCAGAGGCCCCCAGAGGCCCCAAAGACTTCCCCGACAGGCCTCAGGAGGTTTCAGCAAGGCCGCCAACAGAAGGCTCCGAGGACACCTGCCGAGAGACACCAAGAAAGCCATTGAAGAGAAGTCTTGTCCACGATCCCGCTTGGCCACCCCAAGAAGCCATCGAGATGCCTCATCCTCCTACTCCTTCTCGCTCGCCACGAACACATCAACAGATATCATTAGTGGTGCCACATGGGCTGGCGGAATGAATAAAGTGATCAAATGTTCCGTCAATTTTGGTACGCCACGGGATTCCTTGAGAAGACTTCGTGTCGGGCGCTTTGCGGACCTTTCGGGCCGTCTTCGCATAATCGTGGGGCCTTCTCGGATCATAGTGCGATCAATGTTGGGCCAGCTGGGAACATCTTGAAGCTACCTTCGAGCGACCCTTGGCCATCGGGCCCCATCTTGGGGCCATCTTTGAGCCATCAGGGCCCCCTCAGCCCCCCCGATACCCCGTGGAGGAAAGTGTGCCTCTCCTCGAGAGGCCTCCGCTGCTCCTTTTTTTCCTGCTCGTCCTGATTCGTGCCTGGAGACTTCTTGGGGCTGACCGAAGCCGCTGCACCCCCGCGAAGCTCTCCTGGGGCAATCCTGATGTGGGCCCCTCTTGCGACTCTGCTCGGGTCCCGTGTGGCTTGACGCTGGGCCTTCCGGAAATTTCCCTGCCCAGCTCGATGCCTCTCGAATCGCAGTCGGGCCTTCAAGCATCTGGATCATTCCAGTAGGGGATCGACTACAGACTTCATTCACCCCAAGCTTGATTTTCTCGTCTGGCCCATGAACAAAAGCATACATATAATGGTGCATCGATCTACGGAGCATTGTCGGTACGTGTTGTAGATCCGACGGGAAATCAAGTCTGGGGTAGATAGATTACGTAGACGACCCCCCTACTGGAGTCACAGCAGCTCGGTGAAAAACGTCGGCGTACTCCAGCTCGCCAGCTACCCAGGAGGGCGGGGGGGGTGCGGGAGGGAACCCCCAAGGGAGGGTCTGAGCGGCCAGGGCGCAGCGATCACGAAGGGCGTGCGCTCCTCCTCCTCCTCCTCCTCCTCCTCCGCCTCCTCCTCCTCCTCCGCCTCCTCCTCCTCCTCCCTCTCCTCCTCCGCCTCCTCCTCCTCCTCCCTCTCCTCCTCCTCCTCCTCCTCCTCCTCCTCCTCCTCCTCCTCCTCCTCCTCGTCCTCGTCCTCGTCCTCGTCCTCGTCCTCCTCCTCCTCCTCCTCCTCCTCGTCCTCGTCCTCGTCCTCGTCCTCGTCCTCGTCCTCGTCCTCGTCCTCCTCCTCCTCCTCCTCCTCCTCCTCCCTCACTCTACTCCTCCTTCTTCCCTCTCTCCTCCTGCATTAAGCCTTCAATCGCTTCCTCGGGGCTGCCTTGGGGCCACTGGGGCCGTGCTGGAGTCGTCGCGGGACCCTCTCGCAGAGCCGGATTGGGGCCTCACGAGGCTGTCTTCTGGTCTCTTTGGGCCCCCGCTTTCTCGACGCAGAGCGGAAAGACGTCACATTCATATGGGACCGTCCTGCCCGCTCCGGCGAAGCTACTTGGCAGTGGGGGCAGGCGAAAAAGGCAGGGACTCACGCGCACTTCACGCTGCCCGCATAGCGCACCATGGTCATTTCGCCAGCCGCCCGAAGGCCTCGTAGAGGCCACCGCGGTCCTTGTAGTAGGCCCTCACCTCGGGCTCGTTTGCCACACGGGCCCTGAGCGCTGTGATGTTCGGGTACGGCTCGAACAACGACTCTTCGGTGGGGAAGCCGTCGTAGAAGCCGGAGACAAAGGTACTGGTCTCGCAGAAAACCTTCAAGTGTGCCATGTTGAGTGGCTGGTCGACCATTGGCGTGAGAGCGCTATCGAGCCGCCCTAGCAGCTTGTGAAAGGTGCTACTCGTGTCTGTCGCCGCTGCCTTTCGGGCCTCGCGCTTCTCCTCCCCCTGAAGGTGATTCAGCAAGGCCGCGGACTCCAAGTCCTGGGTGACAAAATCTATGACTTCCTCCACCTGCGCAGCCTCGACAGCATCGGCCGGCGTCATCCCACACAGCCTGGCCGCATACCGCATGATCGTGGCCGACTGGGAGATGGCCTTGCCCCCAACCTCCAGGACCGGCATCTGGCCGAACGGGGTCATCTCCCGCGCGGCCTGCGCCTGCGCCCGCTCGCCGAAGGGGATCCTCACGTCCTCGAAGCGCACCTGCCCGATGGTGAGCGCGAGCCTCGTGGGCTCGGCCCCCCGGCCAGGCGCATCCCACCAGTGCATCCGGAGCCTGGGCGGAGAGACCGCTCCGCCATCGGCCATCTCTGCCACGGTGCTCCGAGGCGCACGGCACGAGCGCCCCCTCCCCCAAGGGGCGCGGGCGCCACGCGGGAGCCGAAGGCTTGAGCCAAAACGGCTACGGTTCGATCTCTCTGGGCACCTCGGGCCCCCTTGGGCTGTCTCGGGCTCTCTTGGGGCCGTCTTGAGCCATTCTGGAGCCGTCGTGGGCTCTCCTGGGCACTTCTCGGGCCTCGTTGGGAAAATCGCTGGCCACCCTGGGACTCTATTGGGCTCTTTCTGGGCGCCTGGGCTCCTCCCAAATGTTGTTGGAACCAGCTACGGCCGAAAAGTGGCGAATGTCAACCATGCAAAATGTCCCAAACTGTCCTGACCTTTTTGGCTGATTTGTCCAGTCTGGGTGTCGTCTGTGTGCCATCTTGTGCGTCTCCGTCTTGTGACGCTCTTGAGGCCCTCTTGGGTCTGTCTTGGGTCTCGGAAAGTCTCGGGAACCTGAGGCTGTCTTGGATCCTTCCACAGTGCCCGCCCAGGGAGGCATCACCAGCAGAACTTTCATGGTTGCAAGGTGTCCCTGGGCTCGCGTAGTAACACTTACTTGTTCATGCGTTCGCACGCGCACTCTTCTAGCCATCTCCCCCTCTGTTGACAGCTCCATCCCTGCCTGTGTCTAGACTTCCATGTCCATCTCGGCTAAACAAGCTCTGCCAGCCTCTGCCCAGATCCATCCCTTCTGTGTCTAAACAAGTAGGCCCAGCTGTCGGGACATGTCCTCTTCTCTAAATATGTGACGATGCGGTTGCCGGATCACGAAGTGGGGAAGGGGTCGGAGGAGGAGGAGGATGCGAGGATGACGGGTCTCATGTCGCAATCACGAGGCCCTCGAGTGCAGATGCCAATCGAAACACAACCTCTCTCGCAACAGCAGCAAGCGTGCCATCAGATGGAGCCTGGTTCCATATGATCTCGTGGTTCCCGCTGCCGCGGCACTTCTTGGCGTGCTTGTCGCCCCCCAGGTGCATGGCTATGTTCAGGTATGCGTTGGCCTCTGTGGAGTTGAGGAGGAGGAGGAGGAGGAGGAGGAGGAGGAGGAGGAGGAGGAGGAGGAGACGCAGATGCGACAAGACAAGAGGGCCCTCGCGCGAGACGGCACGACGACCTCACGCGGTGGCCTGCGCAGGCCGCCCGCGCGGCACACCGCGTGGAGAAGCGAGCGCGCTCGCGCGCGATCTTGCGCAAGCTCTTTGCGCGCCAATCAGGGGGACGTAAGACCTGGGTACAGGGGACTCGGAAATCCCCGACGAGGTCGTCAAAAAATGGCGAGGCCGAGCCTGCATTTTGACGAGGCCTCCCGCTGCAGGCATCCCACGAAACTCCTACTCGTCAAAATCCGAGTCGCGGTCGTCAAAAAACGATGGTGAACCCGAGTCCAAACCCGGGTCTTACGCTCCCCCGAGCCAATGCTGGAACATTCGGCCACCTTTTGTCGTTCGCTGCAATTAATTACTTCTGATCCAAGCACGCGATCGGTCCAGACGCTCTGGCCGTCAATGGGCAGGCAGCCAGTGAGGGTAGCACTTTGACAGCCTGAAGCTTGGAGGGGAGCCATACTGAAACCCAGGATGCATCAACGATGCTCCAATGCACCCTCCCGTCCCAGGCTCCCTCCGCGTACGTTTAAGTCGGGCCTGTCCCCCCACAGGCGGATTTTGGAGGAGGAATGAAGAACACCCCAAACATACTCCAAAACAGTCAAGCACGGTTTAAACACATCGCTCCCAGACTATCTTTTTGACTATCCTGGGATCCTCCTCCGGTAGAGGGACGTGCCCGACTTACACGTGCCTCCTTGCTGCTGCGGGGAGGCGCCCACCCCTCGAGAGACGAGCGCCCCGTGGGCCTGCCAGGGAGGCGGGAGAGCTCCGCCCTGAAGAGGAGCTGCACCGCATCCCGCTCGCTGGAGGGAGTGCGAAGACACGGAGCACGCGCGTCGTTCATTTCCAGTCGTGCTCGCTTCCTGATTGTGCTCGCTTCTGATGGTTCCTGGCCGAGGCCCAGGACAGAACCATTAGACATGACAGGATCTTGGCCCCGCAAAGCCAAAGAACTTCCGAATACTTAGACATGAGCAATGTGTACAGCTCAAGGTTGTGTCCGGCGATCGCCCCGTTTTGGAAAGAGGCCGCCCCCATCCGTGTAGCGACTTTCCACCTGTTTCCACTTGTGGCAAGCGAGAGCCTCCGTTTTGAAAAGGAGCCACACTCCGTTTAAGACGACTGTGCGCGGCGCTGAGGCGACAACCACACATTGAACAGGAGTCACCGACCATTCTGGCAGCTGGTGGAAGATTTTGAGTCGACTGTCCACAGCGCTCAAGGGAGAGCAGCCTTTGTTGAACAGGATTCGCCCTCCATCCCGTCTGGTAACTGCTGGAAACTAGTAGTCCCAGGGCAGCACATGGTGAACGAGTACCAAGCGAAATGCCCAACCCACGCCAGCGACATGTCCGGTGGTGCAGCGGGGAGAATAGTTAGCCTAGGAGAAGAAGGACCAGAGAAAACCCAGGATCCATCATCGAGGCAACACGACACCTTTTCGTTCCAAGTCCCCTTCCAATCACTCCGCACAAACATCTTCGGGAAGAGCCCCCCTTGGAAGACGAACGCCCCGTTGACCTACCCTTCAGGCAGGGGCGCATTTATCCTCAAACAGTGCTTGTAATTAACAGTTCTTATCCTGTCTTGATAAGGACTTGAATGGGTCCACCGAAATTTCGCCACGTTGCCGCACGTGGGCGCCTCGTAGGCGCACCGTGCGCTGGGTGGGTCAGGCTGGCGAGGTCTCGCCACGTTGCCGCCCGTGGCCGCCTCGTGGGCACCCCGTGCTCTGGGTGGGCCCGCCGAGGTTCGCCACGTTGGCGCATGTGGCCGCCTCGCGGGCGCTCTGTTCGCTGGGTGGATCCGGCGAATTCTTGCCGCGTTGCTGCCCGTGGCCTCTTCGTGGGCGCCCCGTGCGCTAGGTGGGTCCTCGCTCGCCACGTTGCCGCCCGTGGGCGCCACATGGACGCCCCGTGCGCTGGGTGGGTCCGCCGAAGTCTCGCCACGTTGCCGCCCATGGGCGCCTCGTGGCCGCCTCTTGCGCTAGGTGGGTCCGCCGAGGTGCCGCCACCTTGCCGCCCATGGGCGCCTCGTGGGCGCTCCGTGCAATGGGTGGGTCCGCCGAGGTTTCGCGACCTTGCCGCCCGTGGGCGCCTCGTGGGTGCTCCGTTCGCTGGGCTGGTCCGACGATGTTTCGCCACGTTGTCGCCCGCGGGCGCCTGGTGGGCGCACCGTGCTGTTGCAACGGCGTGGGGCACTCGATATTGAAATCCCGGCGTAACTTTATATATATATATATATGTATGTATATGTATTATATGTATATGTATATGTATATGTATATGTATATGTATATGTGTATGTGTATGTGTGTATATATATATATATATAAAATCAAATGATTTCGGCATGCGCGCTCGGCGACGCGCGCGCGTGCACTTCGTCCCTTTGTTGCAAGGGGTTCTGGACAACTTCTAAATTTGATGAACGAACTCGCGCGCAATTTTTTCCAGAGGATGAGGGGGGTACCCGTACTGGCCTGCCTGGGATGGTGCGAAATCATGTTTAAGATGTGCGCTGGGGTGAAATCGTATACGCATTGCAACACGAGAAGGGGAGTCGTCAATTCCGGGGGCAGGGTGGGGTGGGTGGTTGGGGGGGAAAAGGGGGGTAGACCATTTTTTGTTTTTAAAAAGGAGAATGAATGATGCTGTGCTTCGTATGTGGTCCAATAATTTTTGCCGCAGTGAGCTGTCCACTCCACTGCTCGCGCAATCGTCCCCCCCGCCCACCCGCACCTTGGATCGCAGAACCCATGCGGCGGCGATTGCGATAAATGCTTGGCGTTGGCTGGTGCCTCGCTGCAGCCGCGCTGGCCCGCGCATGCTCGCGCGCGCAGCGGCCCGCTAAATTTGGCGCGACCGACGCGGCCGCGGTGGCGCTCACGACCCGGCGACTTGGGCCCGCGCGGTATCATGGCAACGTCGACGACGGTAGACGCGCTGATGATGGTAACGATGCTGGTGGCGACAATGACAGCAACGACGGCAAGGCCAATGACGGCGCCAATGCTGATCACGCCGGCGACGATGACGGCGCCCTCGCGTCGGTGATGAAGGTTTAGGAGAGAGTTCGGCATGCGCGTGCGGCCGGCGCGCGAGCGGCCCGCATGGTATTATCTAACCGGGATCGTGCCCCCTCCCAGCACGTGCGCAAGGGCGTTCGGATGATGTCGACGTGCGGCGCGGGCGGCCTGCGTGGCATATTGTTTTGAATTCGTTGAAAAACCTATGGTTTTCTTAAGATTGAGAATTCGTGAGAGCGCGAGCGCAAGAATTTCTGAAAACTGATGTTGCAACAACCTTGTTCTTTTGTATGTTTTCGGGGCGCTCGACTTTGAAATCCCTATGACACCCACGGTTTTGAAAGATTCCGCCACGTACGCGCGACGGCGCGCGTGTGTAGTTCGTCAGGTTTTCTGCAGCATGCGCGCGGCCGAGGCGCGATTGGCCCGCATGGTGTTATTTGACACGTATCGTGCCCCCCCCCTCCCCCAGCACGCGCGCAAGGGCATTCGAATGATCTCGACGTGCGGCGCGAGGGGCCCGTTTGGCAGAATTTCATGCGTATGTTGAAACACCGATGGTTTCCTCAAGAATTCGCAGGAGCGCGAGCGCAGGCATTTTTGACAACAGATGTTGCAAAACTATTATTAGGATTGCTAGTATTACTGTTGTGATTATACGTATACAAATTTTGTTTTATGGACGATCGATTTCGAAATCCATACGAAACCTAAGGTTTTTGAGGGATTCCGGCATGCGCGCGCGACGAGGCGCGCGTGTGCACTTCGTCCCGTTTTCTTTGCAAGGGATTATTGCGACACCACTCGCGCAAAGGCGCAAGGGCGTTCGAGCGATTCCGACATGCGCGCGCGAGAAGCCCGTTTGGTTGCAATTCCTCGACATGTTGAGAAACCTTTCGGTTTTCTCAACAAGTCGCAAGAGCCCGAACGCAAGCTTGGTTTGAACATTGTTGTTGCGAAGCCATGTGTTTTTATATGTGCTTGATTTGTTCGGGGCACTCGATTTTGAAACCCTTACGGAACCTGACGTTTTGAAGGATTTCGGCATGCGCCCGCGACGACGCGCGCGTGTGCACTTCGTTTCGTTTTTTGCAAGGGGGTCTTGAAAATAGGTGATCGTTGATAAACGAGTGTGCGCATGTAGTGTTTTTAGAAGAGGCTCAGGGGGGTACCAATACCGGCCTGCCTGGGATGGTATGAATTCATATTTCGGATGAACGATGTGGCACAATCGTATGCAAGTTGCAATGCGAAGCGAGAAGGGGAGTCGTTAAGCCCGGGGGGGAGATCCGAATACGCTTGTAGAAAGGAGAACCTACATTGAGCAATATATGTGGTGCCATGTGTGTTGTGCAATCCATGTGGAGCAACCTCTGTGGCGAGGGCGAGGCGGCGACGGGGCGGCGAGGGCGACAACATAGCCACCAGACCGCCACACTGGCCCAGACGACGGGCGGCGACGAGGTGGCGACGGCGGCCACATGATCGCTAGAGCGGCGCACCAGCCCAGCTCGTTAGAAAAGAATGAAGAATCCCTAAATGCAAACACTGTTTAGGGAATCGCAGAAAAGACTTCACCATGGCTATAAGAGGGACAGGCGGATGAGCAGTAGAAGGAGGAGCTGCAAAAGGATGCAGTGGACTCTGAAGATCAGGAGGAGTTTGACTCAAGCTTTGGTCTGCTAGGAAGAAAAAGAATGTATAAGGAGGAGGCAGAAAAGGGACGCATAGGAGGAAGATGGGGAGCTCAGGCCCGCGGCCCAGGCTCCGGCCCGCCGGGACGAGGCCCACGAAAATCCGGAAGAAGAGCAGGAGGGGGACGAGGAGGACGAGGAGGAGGAGGAGAACGAGGAGGCGGTGCACGACACGTCCAACCTGCAGGCGTCTCCTCCTCGAATCACGCGCCGATCCCCGCCTCGCGGCGGGTGCGCGGCTCACCGCGGGCCGCGCCGCGGAGCTCCCAACGCCGACGACCCGCGCCCCCAGCGGACCCTCGGATCGGGGGCCCCCCGCGGGGGCAGCGCGACCGAACGCCGCCCGAGCCGACAGGAACACCGCCAACGACCAAAACCGAAACTGCCGACTGCAGCAGGGCGCAGCGGCGCGGCGACGACGCAGCAACCGACCAGACCACGCCGAACCAAATGCAACCAACTGGGACGCGACCGGACCGACCGAACCACGGGCACCGCTGTGACCCCAGCATCTCCCAACGACACAAGCAACATCTGGCCAGCCGTCCTTTCAGCCCTCCCGGCCTCTGGAGGCCATCCTCGGGCCGTCAGAAAACCCAGACATCAGACGATGTATTTTTTTCATGTGCGACCCCAGAGGTCCCACCCCTTCCCCCAAGGGGTGGTCTTCCGTCCCGAATCCTTTCTTGATGGCCCTGGGGCCCCCTAATGGGCCCAGAGGCCGAAACGAGGGACCAACGATGGGACTGAACAGAAAGACCTCGTCGACATCTGGGCACGATCAGGGACGGGCGGGGCGCCAGCGGGTCTCGGGAGAGGTCCAACCTTCAGGGTCGGCGGCATTGGCCGTAAGGCCTTCACACTACCTCGTCAGACATCTGCTTAGCTGCCCCGATATGTACCACGCAACACGTAGCGCAGTGTTACGGAGCTCAACACGTAGGCCGAAAACGTAGGTCTGACGCGATACGTTCGTGCGCGGGCCACTACTTCGAACCAACACGCAACGTATCGGCACGGACGATTTGACCACGGTGCGTGCTACGTATCAAGCCCGGCGTATCGAGGCAGCTGGGGACATCTGAGCATGATCAGGGACGGAAGTTGAACAGGGACCGACCGTCCCCGCATTCCTATAGCTTACCACGACATGTTTTTAGAACCCTAACATATTCTAAGGACAAAGGCAGTGCTCTTAGAACATAAACCCGATGTGTTGAAACAGGACAGGCCCAGCCAGAAATGTTCCAAGAACATCTCTTGGAAACCCCTAAAAAGGTTCTTAGAACATTCTTTGGTGGGCCTACAGGCGAGCCAGGACGCCTCGCCACTGCTTGAGGAAGGCCATCCCCCCGGGGGAGGGGCCGAGGGACCAGATGGCATCGCCACGAACAACAGCTGCGCGACGCGCGGCAGGCGAAGGGCGGCGGGAGCGCGCGCGCCGGCCTTTGCCGGGCAGAGGGTGCACTCGAGCGTGTCGCTCGTGACCCTCACGTAGTCGGGCAAGTTCCACACCTTGCCCTCAAAGGGGTCCTTCTTCGCCGCCTCCTCGGCCTGCTCCACGGGGCTCCTCCTCCTCCTCCTCCGCCTCCCTCCTCCCCTGTGCTGCTCCACAGAGAGCGCTGGGCCGTGCCCGTCGCCGCTGGCCCTCATCCACTTTGCCTTCGAACGCCCCTGATCGTCGTCCTCCTCTGTGGCAAGACTGGCCCTTCCAGAGCAAGTCAGCACGGGCAACCCTGGTGCGACAGAGTGCAGCCGGCTCGGACACCTGCCCGCGCAGTCCGTCGGGCCCTGCCGGAGCCGCCGCCACACAATTCTGGCCTCGAGCATTCACAGCCTGGCCCCCTGGCCGATTTCGGAAACCCCGAGCCCAAACATGTTGACGTCTAACTTCTACTTCCACCCCCCTCCGCCGGCCTTCAACCCCGCGGAGCCGCTGCCGTCTGACTTCCGTTGGCTTCCGTCAAGGGCGAGGCGCGCCGACGACGAGGTGCCTTTGCGAATGTCCTGCGTGAAGTCGTCGTGGCACCATGCAGAACGCTGAAAGGAAGGAGCGGAGCCACAACGAGCCACGGCCACGAACGGGCCCATACCTAAGGCCGGAGGCCTGGAGATCAACACCAACATCAATATCGGCGGTGTGCCTCCACCGAGGGAAGATGATCCTGATCTCGGTGATGGTGGTATTATTCGGGCTTCCTAGGTGGCCGAAGGATTACCACCGCCACCAACATCCAGGGCCATCTCCACCCGGGGGAGGCAACCTCCTGCGTTGGTGTTGGCGCGCATTTCCAGGCCTCCAAAAAAGGTCTGCCCGAAAACCAGGGCCCTCCTGAGCCCAGAGTGGTCCTTACTTCAGCGCCTCGCCTGCAGGCCGAGCTGCTCGTGCGCGACCTCCCCAAGGGCGAGCGTCGTGGCCCATAGCGCGAGGGCGGATGGGGGCACCCGCAGAGTTGAGCGGCCGAGCCATCCGGCAGCGCAGCGGTCGCCGCAGGCGTGCTGTCGGGCACCAGCGAGCGAGCGATCCACGTCTTTCTTGTGCGCACTTAGCGTTCGCTTCGGTGTCCCGGTGGACGCTCGACCGCCGCGCGATTGTTCCCGCGGCCGCTGACCAGCAAGTAAATCCTGATGCCCGAGGGCATCGTCACAACCACCGCCGTCGGTGAGGTCACCCAGGTGGGGCCCTTGCGGGATGAGAGCAACAGCGGAGAAAGGCGCCAAGTTCGTGCCGTCATGACATGTTCGTTGGCTTCTGGCACAACGTCGTCGCTCAACCATTAACGATCCCGGGCTTCCGATTGCGCAGCTCGTTTGATACCGGCCGATTCCAAGTCACTGGCGGCGTTCAACCTTGAACGTCCGCGCCCCAAGGTCGCCGCCGCTTAACGTGGCAAGAATCCACCGTGGGTGGGATGGTTCGGGATTCGCCCCGCAACCTCCCCCAGGGACAACTTTTCGTCCAGGATTCTTTGGGTGGCCGTGGGGCCGTTAATGGAAGAAGAAAACCACACAAACACAAACTATTGGCGCTCCGCGCTGATTTCTTGGATTCGCGCTGGACCCCCCTCCCTGGCGCGCGGAGCGCGCCAGGGGCGGCGCCGGAGGCGGCGCTGGGGGGCCCAGGCGCGGATCCAAGAAATCCGCGCGGAGCGCCAAAAGTTTATGTGTATTTTTCTTCTTCGATGACAGGCCGCGGCGCCGTCTGTCAGCCCGCAGGGGAACATAAGGCTACTCGGAGGAGCTCAAAGAGAAACACGAGAACACGAGATTGCCGGACACGCGCTGGCCTGTGATCTGGCGGACGGGGGAGCTCAACGGCGGACGGAGAAAAGAGGAACATCTGATGAAACATGTGCGAAAGGAGAAGGAGAGGGAGGGTAGGCGGAGAGGAGAAGAGGCGCAGGAGCAGGAGGCCGAGGCGAAGAGGTGGCGGCATCCCTGGCGAAAGCAAGTAAGGCGGATGAGAAGGAGTAGAGGCGGGAATGAAGAAGAGGGGAGGGGAGGATAGAGAGCCACGTAACAGGGCACGCAGGACGGAAGTGCAGGAGATGGTGAGGCGGCATGGGTGGAGGGACAGGAGAGAGGAGACATGGATGAATAATCACCTGCCAACTCGCTGACTTCTTTTTCACATCATTGCAACGTGGACCCCAAACAATGAATTCCACTTTGTGTGATGTAATCTGTGTGCTCAATCTGCGCGGTGCACTCTGTGCGATCCGATCTGTGCGGTGCAATACGTGTGCCGTGCAATTCCTTGCTTGCCTTACCGTGCTGCACCTGGCTATGCCGATTTTGCCACACGGCAACACCTGAGAGGCGAAACAACACAAGTAGATCCCACTCGCACGTAGTAACGCACGAGGCGGCTCTTTTGCGAAGCGGGGCTCTTGCCAGAAGCATGGGTGGCAACTCCTTTTCAAAACGAGTCCCTCGCCTGAATTGCAGCGAGGGGGCACTTCCCGCAGTAAAGAGGAATGATTGTATGGGCTTCTGAGGAGAGGACTTGGGATGGGCGGGCGACGTTTCAGCATCGCTGATGCATCGTGGGTGTACTCCGATCCTCCTCCTCCTCCTCCTCCTCCTCCTCCTCCTCTTCCTCCCCACTTTCTTCCTCCCTGCCTCTCCTCCATGTCTGCTTCTCCTCATCCCCCTCCTTTCATCCCCGACAGGGAGGATTTCTGGGTGGGTGGCAGCGCGGGGGCAGAGTGAGGGGAAGATGGGCGGGGATTGGCTGAAGGATGGGGACAAGGGTTGGGAGAACGACGAGTAGGACAAGGAAGTCGAGGATAGAGGTCGGTCGGTGCAGGATTATGCTAAAAGTTCTTCCTCGCAGCAACGGGAATTCCTGAGCGGAGAAAACCTGTTTCACAGTGCAGTTCTGCACGGCCAAGACAAGAAAGACTGCCTCCGTCCTCCTCACTCCCCGTCCCGCTTCTCGTCCTCCTCCGGGCGCTCCGTGCTCCGCGGTGCGAGCCGCATGGGTAAACGCCCCCCTCTGGAATGCACGGCTCCCCGTCCACTGAGCGGGTCTCGCTCTCTGTCTGTCTGTCTGTCTGTCTGTCTGTATGTCTGTCTGTCTCTCTCTCTCTCTCAGAGCGGGCTTCTTACTCTCTCAAAGAACCTACTCTCCCCCTCCTTCTCCTCCTCCTCCTCCTCCTCCTCCTTTCCTCCCCGCCTTCCACCGTGTTGACTCCATTTGCAGCCTCTCTCCCTCGACGGCTCCCAGCAAAGAACGGTCTTTGGGTGCGTGGCTGTAGTGGGGTTCCGCGGTGCGGATTGTTGTTGCTCTTGTCGTTGTCGTTGTTGTTCTTGTTCTTGTCGTCGTCGGCGCGGGTGGGTCGTGGCAGGGGTGGGTGGGTCGCGGCGGGTGTGGGTCGTGGGTGGTTAGCGGCGCAGATAGATCGCGACCCACCCGAGCTGCGACCCACCCGAGCTGCGACCCACCCGCGCCCCTTCACTCGCATCCGTAGCTGCGGAGGATCGATTATTTCTCGCGTCCCTTTCCGCTCCACGGCCCGCACCAGTCCCACGTGAAGCGACTATCGGCGTAGCCTGCTGTTTTTCGCGTCCAGTGCCGTTCCCACTCCATGGCCGCCACCAATGTTACGCTTTTCCCCCCAGGGAGGCCGCGCGGGAACACGACGCCTATCGGCGCAGCCTTGCATAGTCCTCCCCCTCTTCCTCCTCCGCTCTTCTCCTCTCCTCTGATCTCCTCTCCTATCCTCTCCTCTGGCCAGCCCTCCTCCTCCTCCTCCTCCTCCTCCTCCTCCTTTTTCTTGGACAATGCATCGCCTGCTCCTGGGGCTCGGCCGGCGTCATGGCCTTAGTGTGCTTCTTGGACTTGATGTGCACGTCCACCTCGGCCCATGGAGGAAGACCGTTGCACCCGCACCGCACGCCTTTTCCTCGCTCCGGCCTCTGGGGCGCCAACTTTGGGCCCCAGGGCTCAAACGTCGATCCAGGATGGACATCATGGATGGACAACTGGCCAGGGTGGACCTCGGCACGGGGCTTTCTGCGCTTTCGGCCTCGGGGGGCAATTTTGGGGGCCCGGGGCTCATGAATCGATCCAGGATAGACATGGATAGACAACTGGCCAAGATGGCGGTCCTGGCGAACAGGCGTTCGCAACCGTGGCAGCGGAGAAAATATGGGCCTCAGACAAATGGGCGAGTGGTGGTGGCGAATGAATCGGCGGCCCCGATCTCCTCGATCTGGGAGGGGGCCTCCCAGGATGGACCCTGCGAGGCGCCTGGGGACTGGTTGTGAGCTGATTTGGGCCAGGACTCAGGGAGGGAAAGGAAAAGGAGGGAGGAAGAGGCTGAGGATGAGGAGGAAGGCTAGCTGCTAGCTGTTTTTCGCCGTGCTATTTTGCTTTCTTGCCTCGTCGCCACGGCCAGAATGGCCTCGAGACCCTGGTCATACCCCCTCCGAGAGGCGTCCTGTTTCTTGTCCAACTGCGAGTGGCCCCCAGTCAACACGAAAAGGAAGAGGGGCGGATGAGGAGGAGGAAACAGAAAGAGGGAGAGGAAGCCCTGGGCCGCGCGCCCGCGGATCACCGGCTCGCCGGCGGCCCGCCGGCCAGCTGCTGCTGGCGCTGGGCACCCCGCCTTTCTCCCCGAAGACGTCCAGCATGCCATGCCCCCTTCTCGCGCGAGGACCCCGGCCACAGGTCCTGGGCTTAAGTCGAGCCTGTCCTCCTACAGGGGGATTTCGGACGAAAAATGGAAAATATTCAAAACATACCCCAGACAACTGTCCCGATACGCAGCACGCAACACGTAGCGTATTGACACGGAACCTCACACGTAGACTGAAACCGTAAGTCTGATGCGATGCGTTCGCCAAAACGTGGGCCAATACGTTGAGCCAACACGCAGCGTATCGACACGGACGTTTTGAGCACGGTGCATGTTGCGTATCAAAACGGGCGTATCAAAACAGCTAAGCCAGCATTCCGTGCCCCCTTCTCGCGCGAGGACCCCGGCCACAGGTCCTGGGCCAGGCGCGCAAGGGCCTTGTGCCCTGGCTGGCACGGCTGTCGTCCTGGCGGAACGCAGGGCTTTTGGCCATCCCCCAAACGCACGCCGCCCTCCCTCGCCGTGGTGGCTCCCTCCCTCGCAGTACCTGACCGGCACTGTGCCATGGGCGCGGAGACTGTGGGACAACTAGGCGAGCTGCTTCCCCACCCTCACCTGAGCGACGAAAAGAAGATGTTTTAAGCGAGATGGCATGGCGACCTTACGCAGTGGCTTACGCAGGCCGCCATCGCGGCACGCCGCATTGGAGACAAGGGCGCTTGTGAGCGACCTTACGCGGGGCGGGCAGCTTACGCGCCAATGTTGGCACAGTCGATCCCGAGTCCTCTCGACGCGAGGAGGAGGCGGAAAAGGATGATGATGATGAGGAGGAGGAGCAGGAGGAGGAGGAACAGGAACAGGAAAAGGAAGAGGAGGAATATTATGATGATGAGGAGGACGAGGAAGAGGAAGAGGGAAGGAGGAGGAGGAGGAGGAGGGGGAGGAGGAGGAGGGGGAGGAGGAGAAGGAGGAGGAGGAGGAGGAGGAGGAGGAGGAGGAGGAGGAGGAGGAGGAGGAAGGCGGCCGCCACATGCCGTTCGCAACCACTCCATGCGCGTGCTCCTCGAGCCGCGCGCCTCGGACAGGCACACCCGGCAGATGGGGTCACACCACCGCTTCGCGGGCGCCAGCGACGATATCCGCCGAATGACACATCTCCCGCAGCGCGGCCTCGTGCGGCGTGAAGCCCTCGGCCGCATGCGAGCAGCATCGTCCCTAAACCGAGGCGCCCTGGGATCCTTCTCGCCCACGTCCCAAAAGACTGCCGCCAGCCGCTTCCGGACGCGATCTGTTTGCGCGTCCACATCCCTGACCGCCTGCACCTCGCTTTGCGTCAGCATCACCCTGGTCGCGGCCGTCTCGGCGAGCTTGATCGCAGCCTTGAAGAGGCGCACGAGCAGCACAGGGTATGTATCCCCTGCTGATGGCCTCGTCCTTGTCGATGTGACTCTCCACCTCAGCTCGCAGCGCCGCTTCTCCACCAACGCCTTCAGCTTCCTCCACGTGTCGCGACGTCCCGACGGCTCCGCAGCGCCCTGCCCCAGGGCCTCGGGTGAGGATGAAGATCGTCGATGGCTTAGCAGCTTCTGCTGTCTCTCGGCGCGCGGCGGATACTCCACGACTTATCCATATCCAGATCTCGAGAGCTACTACCTCGGTCTGCCTGGTCTTGCATCGACTTCGATCGATTCATCTGGCTTTGCACCCGCAAATCGATTGGAGAGGAGGAGTCGTCAAGCCTTTTGAGAGAGGGGCCAGGGCGTCGCAAAAAGGGAAGCCGCGGCGCCAAGTCGGAAGCGGACGCCGCGGTCTGACCCGCCGCTGGAGCTCCCCGCTATGTCAGATCTTGCGACCCCCCCTCCTGGGAGGAGGAGGAGGAGGAGGAGGAGGAGGAGGAGGAGGAGGGGGAGGAGGAGGAGGAGGAGGAGGAGGAGGAGGAGGAGGAGGAGGAGGAGGAGGGGGATGAGGAGGAGGGGGAGGAGGGGGAGGACGGGAGGAAGCGGAGGAGGAGGAGGAGGAGGAGGAGGAGGAGGAGGAGGAGGAGGAGGAGGAGGAGGAGGAGGGGGGGGAGGACGGGAGGAAGCGGAGGAGGAGGAGGACGACGGCGACGACGCCGAGGAGGGGGAGTGGGAGGCGGTTGGTTTCATCGCGTCGTGAAGAGAAATCGCGACGGGAAGCTTTTCACCGTCTCCACAGGATTTGGGCTTTACCGGGCCAAAGGACTGTCAGTCATCGTGCTACCAAAGGGAACGCTACATGAGGAACCATGTCGTGGTTGGGGGCGTTCATGATGACCAGCGTGCTGCTCGAAACGGCGCTGGTGACGGCGATCGCTGGGACCCTGCAAGGGGCCATGATATCGTGGGAAATGCGTGGGGACTGGTTGGCATCGGGCTGCTCGGGCTGCACGTGCGTGAACAATCAGACGAGGATGGCGCTGCCCCCGACGCCAGCCTGACTTTCGCCCTCGATTTAATGGCCTTCAGAGTAGAACACCTTGTGCGTGTGCAGCTGGGTGTCGGTCCAGGTGCGGAACAGCGCCTCGATGACGTGGACTTCCTGCAGGAGGACCACACAGCGGCGCTGCGTGAAGTTGGTGAGGACGGTTGCTTACGGCAGGGGGAAACAGAAAAACGAGGAGGAGGAGGAGGGAAAGGACGACGGAGAAAAGAGGATTAGGATGAGGATGATAATGAGGATGATGATGATGATGATGATGATGATGATGATGATGATGATGATGATGATGAGGAGGAGGAGGAGGAGGAGAAGGAGGAGGGCGAGGAGAAGGAGGAGGAGGAGGAGCAGGAGGAGGAAGGAGGAATGGGGGAAGGAGGAAGGAGGAGGAAAGAAAGAGGAGGAATGAGGACGGAGAAGGAGAAGGCGGAGGACGTAAGAGGAAGTAAGGGAAGGTCACTCTTGATCCCGCCCAACAACGAACTATTCGCCCAGGCCCCGCCGAACCTGTGCGAACTCACGCGCCGCGCGGATCACGGGGCGCATCTCTCGAACGGCGCCAAGCGCCGTAAATCTCCGACGATGTTAACGACCTCCCGTGTTGGGTCGGAATCGACGGGGTCGGAAGATGGCGCCGCATCGACGATGCATCGCCGATGCGTCGGCGATGCATCGGACTACGTCGGCGATGCATCGGCGACGTCGGCGTGGAGAAAATCGGCGATGTGGCGCGATCCTCCAACCCCATCCACTCCGACCCCATTTGGGAGGCCTCAATGTGTGCTTTTGTTTCGATGCCCGGAATTCTCTTTGATTTCGTCCCTGCGGGGCCCGCGTTCGGGCCCCCTGGCCACCAACCGCATCCAGGGTGGAAAACTGCCCCCCGGGAAGCGGTCGGGACCTCTGGGGCCGCGGATGGAAAACCCATGCCGTCTTGGGGCCCTCTGGGGGCCGTGTTGGGGCCCTCTTTGGAGGAACAAGAAAGCGGCATTAACAAAAATTGTTGAACTGTCCGCGCGGAGCTTCGAAAGTTTGTGTTTATGCAGTTTTTTCTTCTCTCGCCATCTTTCGGATGTCCATTCCCCATGCGTTTTTCAAATTTCGCGTGTTGACTTCTTCGTAAGATGATCCAATATGCTCCTCGATGGCCCTCGCCGAAACAACGAACGCGCACGTCCGCGCACTGCCAAGTGCTTGGGGCCCTCTTGGGGCCTCTTTCCTGTTTGTGCACGCTTTCGTCTTGGGGCCCCCCGGCGCCTCCCGCGCCGCCCCTGGCGCGCCCACGGCGCGCCAGGGGCAGCGCCGATCCAGGAAATCCGCGCGGAGCCCCGAGAGCGCATGTCAGTGCAGCTGTTTCTTCTTGCGCCCTCTTGGGGCCTTCTTGGGGCCGCTTCTACGCTTGTGCCCTTCTTGAGCCCATCTTGGCCCCGGGCCCAGGCTGCCGAGCTCCCCTTCCTCCGTGCCCCCCGCGGCTGGCCCGGCGCGCGCCCGCCCCCCACCCCATCGGGAGCAGGTCTCCCCGCGCCGCGGGAGAGCCGCGGCGGACGCACAGGCGGGGGGGCAAGAGCTGCACCCAATGGAAGAGACGAGAAGAGGGCAAGCGGACAAGAAACCGAGAAGAGGGCAGACCAGCTCCTTACGTCCCCGCGCGCCTGCGGCGTCGGCAGGCGGAAGATGTGCCGCAGCACTGGGTCCGCTCTCTGAATGAGCGGGCATCGGGGGGATGGGCGGAAGGCGCAAGGAAACGAGCGAGCGGACAAGACGAGACCGCCGAGCAGGGGCACGATGGCGACCGTGAATGAGAGCACAAGCCCGATCGGCGCGCAGGGGGGGCAAGAGGATAACGAGGATGAGGACGGCTGTTCGCCGAGGGTTCTCACCCAAGACGCATGCAGCCCACTGGTGATCATAGCTGCCCCGATGCGCAACACGCCACGGGTAGCGCATCGATGCCTGAACAAGTAGGTGTGACGCGATACGTTGGCCAAAACTTGTGCCAACACGTTGGGCCAGCACGCAACGTGTTCACACGGACGCTTCGAACACCGTACGTGTTGCGTTGCAGATCGACGCAGCCAAGCTGATGATCTGGCAACCCTCGGGATCGACCTGGTGCACGGCTGGCCGCTCGATGCACGGAGGGACGGAGAGAAGCCCTGAAAGCCTACAGAGGCACGCCGGGCCTCCCACAGGCAGGAGGAGGGGAGGGCTTCTTAGACGGAGGCTGCCTCTTAGAAGGCAAGGTACGGGGCAGCCTCCGTCCAAGAGGCCCTCCTCCCCCACTATGCCCCGCTGCGCGTGGCCGAGCCTCGACGAGGGCGTTCCTGGGGGCGCGCGGATCGTCCCGAACGGCCCCGGGCTGTGGCCCGAAAGCCATGCCCCCTCGCGCCGTGAGAAAGACATGACGGAGAACCCTTTAGCTACTTTCGGCCTCTGGGGGCCCTTGCCGGGCCCTGGCCTTGACGGCCTCAGGGCCTGGGGCCGTCAAAGAGCAGCTCGGGATGAAAAGCTGGTCCCAGGGAAAAGGAGTCTAGACCACCAAAGTCCACGTTTTGAACAAATCATGACGTCGGAGAGCTGGGGCAGGGATTGTTCGCGAATGCCCCCCGAGACGCAGACTCACAAGGCGTGCCGGCTGGACCTCTCGGAACAACCGCGCTACACGGCGAACTGCCTCGGTGCTCTGGCGTGGCGAGGGGGCCGTGGCCACGCAAAGAAGCCTGGGCCTGCGCTGACTCCGCTGGGGAGCCCACGGTTGCCAGCGCGTTGAAGGGCCCGGCGTTGCAGAGAGTGCACCTGAACTCTCCGGCTTTGAGGCCGTTGAGGCCGTCACCCTGGAGGCGCGACAAGCGGAGGCAATCAACGGGGTGACGATCAGAGGAAGAGGTCGGGTGGGATGGGCTGTAAGTCTGTTCGGTGCACATTTTCCCTCAGTCCAGACTTGCCGTGAAAGCCACAGCGACTGTGCCAGCGCCAGCGTCAACAATGTCTAGAGTCCTGGGCCGGTCTCTCGAGTGCCCACTACGTGAAGACGCTCTTGCGTCTGCCATGCGCCAATCAAGGCAAATTCATGTGTCGACGACGCTCCTGGCACCGCGCGAGCCGTGTAGTCTTGAAACGACTTTTGCTGGCGGGGCGGTTGGCCCCGTCTTTCGTGCGGACTTCGCGGCTTCTGTGAGCCCCAGCGCTCGGGAGAGTGCTCGACCTTGAACGTCCGCGACGACGTCGCCCCTCCGTCGAGGTGGTGCTAACACCGTCTCGCGGCGAAACAAGAATCACGACGGAAGGTTTCTGGAAGATTCCGGCCTCTGGATACTCCCCACCGACCCCCAGGACCGTCACAGAACGACTCAGGACGAAAAGCAGGTGCTGGGGAAGTGGTCGAGACCTCCGGGGGTCCACACTGTGTAGAACTGCGGCGTCGGATGTCTGGTCATGAAGCTCCCGAGGGCCTCTGCCAGTCAAACTCCATCCCCGAACCTTTCCCAGACGCAATCCTGACCTCTTCTCTGAGCTACGGCCAGTAGTGGCTCCCGCTGGAGGCCTTCCAACTGGGGCCAGAGTAGCTGGGGGCCGGCCGATCGCACCACACCGCCGATGCAACGGCGACGTCGGGATGGAGCAAATCGGACTCAAGACCGCGCCGCACCGCCGATGCATCGGCGATGCGGGGCGCTCTCTGCTCCGGCCCCGCTTGTTGGCGGCGCGCCCTGGGGGGAAGTGAGAGGGGGCGGGCCTTCTCGGAAGGCTTGGAAGTCCCCCCGCCTTCTGAGAAGTTTCCTGAGGCTTCCCCGAAGGCACAGAGACCTTCTCAGAAAGCACGGGGGGCTTCTGAGAAGCTCCGCCGACCTCGGAGAAGGCCTTCTCCTTCTCACTCCCCCCCCCTCGCTCGCCTCCGAGCGAGAGCCCGCGGAACCTTCGCGCGGATCTTTCTTCTAGCTGCGGGCGCCGCGCCGACGCCTCCGCCGCGGCGCGGGCCTTCCGCGCGTGCCCCCTCGGCTCCAGCGGTGGGGTGGGCCTCGACGCCGTCGCGGACCCGGGCGCCCGACTCGGGGTCCTCCGGAGTCCTCGCGGGGTCCGTGCTCCCTGCGGGCCTCGCGGTGTCGCGCCGCCGTGTCCCCCGCGAGGCCCCTGCGAGGTCCCTGTGGGGGGCCTCGCCGCCTCGCCGCCGTGCTCCGGCATCCCCTGCGAAGCCCTTGCAGTGCCTCGCCGCCGTCGCGGACCCAGGTGCCCGACGACCTGTCCTTGCTCCGTGCGGGGCCCCCAGAAGTCCTGCCGCCCTGCCCAGAAGCCGAGCGTGGTGAAGGCCCTCTCGTCGTGGTCTCTCCACGGCACGAGGGGGAGGTCTGGGGAGCTGGCACTTTGGCAGAATCGCGCGATTGAGCCTTCTTGCAATTCCTCTCGGCGTCAGGGCCGCGGGACCCGTCCGAACAGCGGCCCAGGATGGAAAAAGCGGTCCTGGGGGAAGGGGTCGAGCGCATCCTTCTCCTCCGACGGCGCCCCTTGGTCGTGACGTGCCCCCCCCCCCCTCCTGGGGTCTCGACCGCCGTCTCTGGGGCGCCTCGGGGGGCCCTCCAGCAACTCTGATCTCAGCTTGATTTAGGACAACTCCCAGTTTGGTATCACCTTGGTTTCGGTCTGGTTTCGGTGTAGCTCTGATCTCGGTCTGCTTCTGGGGCCGGGCCGTCCTTCCAACCTCAATGCGTCTTCGACGGCCCCGGGGACGGGAAACCGCCCGCAGAAGCCGAGGGCAACGGAGAACTTGCCGTCGTACACCGTGCCGGGGCGCCCAGACCCGAGGACCCGGAGATCTTCAACGCCTCGAGAGCCGCGTCAGGCCCACGTGGAAGTCCAAGTGCGAGCACACGTCGGAAATCGTGCCCGGAACCACGTGGAAACCCGCGTCGAAACCCACGCCCGAACTTACATCCAGACTAGCGTCGGCAATCCAGGTCCAAACCCATTTCCCAAATCACGTTCTAATCCATGTCAGAAAAACATGTCCAGGCCAACGTCGTGCGACTGCGACCCGACCCTGGCGGTCGGGGCCAGTCGCCTGCAGCGAGATCGAGAGCTCGTAAGCGAAAGCACTGTTTGGGGAATGCTGATTTGCTCGCTGACAGTCCTTTATGCCTACCTTGCTTTCTGTGTGTCTCTCTCTCTCTCTCTTTCTATATGTAATCTTATGTAAGCGTCAGTGCGTGTCTCATTCTCTCTCTCTCTATATATATATATATATGTATATATGCATAGGTAAAGGGTTCTCGACACATGCACACCTGAGCCTTCTTTCTGTATCGATCGCACTGCATTGTTGCTACAGTTTCCACGCTGTTATATATATATATGTATCTACAGATATCGCTACCTCTTGCTGTCGCTATTGCCTGAAACCGATGTCTACGTGCACATAGTCATCCCTTTCTTCTTATCTCTTCCTCTCTCTCTTTCTCTCCCTCTCTCTCTCTCTTTCTCTCCATCTCTCTCTCCCCCTTTCTCACCGCCAATCTCGTCAATCAAAATATGCCTGCGTGTCTCTGTGCCCCAAACTACCTTGATGTTTGGCACTTACAACAATGCATGCCGCTACGATTTGTCCCAGCAGTTGTATCTACATGCGCACATGTTCACTACTTTGTAATTGTATGCGTCTCCACCTCCTTTACAACCCCTGCTTAAAAAAACACTTAGCTCTCACCACTAATCACTCCTGCCAACAACTATCATCACTCCTTTCTTTCTCTCTCTCCCTCTCACTTTTTCTAATCTCTCTATATTTCCCTCTCCCACGCGATCTCTCTCTCTCCTCTCGCCCATCTCTCCCTCTCCTTCTCTCTTCTTTCTCCGCCACCCCTATTTCTTTCCATCTGCACACTGCTGGATGCACACATCGTGCGTGGACCAACCGCTTGTATGCCGCATATGTGGATGAATCCCACCAGCCCTCTGGGCGTAAGTGGTCTAGGGCGGTTCCTCTTTCAACCCCCTTCTTCCCCTTCGGGGAGGGGTTGACCCCTCCCTTACTCCCTCCCCTGGACCTGGAGGGGGATTTCGCGAGGTGCCAGAGGGTCCTCTTGGGCTTAAGATGGCTCCAAGAGCGTCTTAGAGAGCCCGAGATGACCCCCAAGATGGCCTAAGATAGCCCAAGCTGGCTCAATGTTGTTTCCAAGATGCTCCAAGAGGCCCCAAGACCGTTCCAAGACGACTCCAAGTTGCCACGGAGCCTTCCACGGAGGACCCCGAGAGGCCAACATCCTAAAACCACCCAGAGGAAATCAATGAATGTTGCCTTATCGTCTTTTTGCTTTCGATGGCCTTCCGAGGCCTCAAGATGGCTCCAAGGGAGCCCAAGAGGGCCCCAAGAGAGGCCCAAGATAGCCCCAAGACGACCCCTAAGAGCGCTCCCAAAGGGGACCGATAGGCGATTCTTGGGGCTTCCGAGGGGGGAAGCTAATTAAGGACCTCCCCTGCTTTGCTCGATCTCTTTCAAGATGGCTCCAAGAGGGCTTCTGAGGCCCCCGAGACAACCTCAAGAGTCTCCCGAGATGACCCCAAGAAACCCATAAGCGGCCCCCAGGAGGCCCCCCAAGGGCTCTCCGTTGGCTATCATGGGCATCGTTTCTGGATGGGCTGGTGGGGATAAACGTCAAAAATTACTTTTCGGGTATGGCGCTAGGAGCCCTGTACGAGGACGCACCCGGAAAAATACCTGATCACCTCATGGAAAATACTTTCCGCTGCCAAACTCCTCTGGCTTTGCAAATGCTCCTAACCTAGGAGGTGTGCTGCTATGTCCAAACTGCTCTCCATGCGTGACACCTTCGAGATATGCCTCCGTCCCCAACCTCTGTCCTCCCGGCGCCTCCCGCAATGAGACAGAAACTGGCACCTGAATGATGCACTGTACGGTGTACTCATCAGGCAACTCGGGCAAATGGCCGTCTTCACTGACGCCGAGGCCCTAGTCCCGCACCCTTCACCCGTGCCGCGCGGCGATTATCCCCCAGAACTCATTATGTAAATGTTTTGTCTCTGTGCTCGCAAGCTCGACGGACTCAAGACAACCTTTGCATGTCTAGTGAAACGCTTGCGCCACGGGAGGCCGACAACAATTCGCGCCACTGTCTTCTTCGTATCTCCTTGTCTCAATGGTGACGTCCATGTATTGCTGCCGTTGCTGTCCTGGATGAGCAGCGGCTGGTCTGCACATGATTTGCTCCTCACACCACATTAATACCATGCCCCTCCCTACCTCGAGGTCATTCTGGGGCCTGGTTTCAAACTGACAATGGGCATCGCCAACATGCTGACCCACATATATCTATATATATACAGATATGTGAGAGGACGATTGTGGTATAATGTGCGCTCCCCTTGATGTCTGCTTCTGGTCAGCCATATGGGTTGATGATTTGGCGGTGCTCACCCACAGGCGGCTTCACAGCCGGACAATTGTTTCAAGGGTTTTGTTTCAAGGTGTGTGTTCAAGGTTTGTTCCAAGTTTTGTTTCTGGATTTCGTTTCTGGGCTCTGGCCTGGTTTTGTTCCTGTGCCGCGGCCAAGGAGTGCTCAAGAGGCCCCCGAAGAGGCCTCAAGATGTCAGAGTTGTGAGGATGTCTCAGGCGGTAGTGGCGATATCCTGCTCAGGGCATCTCGCATCTCAGAGTGACGAGGGTCTCAGGCGGAAGTAGCCAGACCACCTTGGGGCAATGCATCTTCGAGGTCAGAGTTCGGAGGATGTCTCAGGCGGCAGTGGCCTGACCACCTCACCTGAGGGCCTCTCGCAACCCAGAGTTGCGAGGATGTCTCAGGCGAAAGTGCCTTGAACACTTGAGCTCAGGGCATGTCTCAATCCAGAGTTGCGAGGATGCCTCAGGCGAAATTGCCTGGATGACCATGGGACAGGGCACCTCCGAGGTCAGAGTTCGGGAGATGTCTCACGCGAAAGTGGCCTGAACACCTGAACTCAGGGCATATCCGAGATCAGAATTTCGAGGATGTCTCAGGCGGTAGTGGCCGGACCACCTTGGGGCAATGCACCTCCGGATGCGTCTGAACACCAAACAGAATCCAATAGTACGTGTTCAGGCTCTGGGCTGCCAGGTACAACGGCGGCATTTTTAGTGTAGCGGGGCAAGACTATGGACGCCACGCTACACCGCCCACCTGCTCCAGATACAGTGGACAAAGTCGGGCAGCGGCGCCAGAAACATGATTATTGAGAGTGCGTCGGCGATCGTTTCGAGCGGTGGTTGAAACCACGCAGGGCGTTGGAAGAAAGGCGCGGTGTGCTGACCGAAAGATGCAGCTGCTGCTTCGCGCTGCGCTGGTCTACGATTCCTGAGGTGTGGCCTGCATGCATGCCGGCAAGCGCATCGACAAAGGCATCGCGCATCGATTACTTCTTCACTCGGTTGATCTCGAAAGACGCAAGGCCGTCGCCGTTCTGAAAAATCTACAACGGCGACGGCCGGTCGGCGTTCCCCCAGCAGCAGCGCCTTGTCTGGCTCGTGCGAAGCGTCTTTCGCCAAGCGATTGAGCCAGAAGGGCTTGAGCCAAAATATCTACGGAGAGCCCCCAGGCGATTGTTGGTGACGCCGCGGATCTTTGAGTGGCTTTTTCGCGTGGGAGACATGGACAAATCTGAACATCGGACGCACACATCACGCATATCGCGATGTCACGGCCCAAACATCCAATGCGAATTGTTAGCACGTTTGACGTGTATTTCAAAAGTGCAATGCTTTCCATGAATTTGCGCCCAATTGAAAACAATCCGTGGGTTCTTCAATGCTGCCAGCGACTTTCCAACATGATTGTTGCACGCACCAATACGACATAACTATTGTCAACGACTCTGCGTTTCACTATTTGAAGCAAGCGCGGTCTCCAAACGGGTATGCATATCAGTCAGACGCAGTTGTCTGAAGGCATTCGCCGAGACATTGGTGCGTGTGTGTACCCAACACAACTGTGCACCGCAATCGCAATCATATTGGTGACGCGTGTCGGGTCGAACATATTCAGAACGTTTTTGCCTGCGTCCCCGATCTGGATGTGTACGAACCTCGGCCCGAATGTGCGATTTCACAAACATTTGCGTACACATATGCGGGGAAGGATAGGGGGGAAGAGAGAGAGGGAGAGAGAGAGAGAGAGAGAAAGAGAGAGAGAGACAGCAACAACACATATGAGAAATATATATATATATATATATAGATATAACGATACATACATATATACATACATACATAGCGAGAGACATCTGTATACACTTAACTATATAGGAACAGAGAGAGAAAGAAAGAGAGAGAGAGAGATGAAAAAACACATAAAGATAAAGAGAGAGATAGAGAGGCAACAAACAACTACAAGCTTACTTCTCCTCCGTCCCAGCATCCGCTGACATCTTGGAGCCTCTCGGATACGACGCTCTGTATGGAACGCCCATGGCGTGGTGTTGTGACAAGACCGCTGGGGCTGGCCCCCTGGGCCCCTCCTGTGGTTCATCCAGGCTACCAGTAACAACTTTTCCGAACAGTCTCTGACCGTGGGTGGCGACGAGGATTTTCACAACACAGAAAAGCACCCCAAACTACGTCGTCGTCGTAGCGGGGGGAGGTAAAGGAAAAGGAGGGTGAGGATGACGAGGGGGGTGAAGAAAAGGAGGAGGACAACGAGAAGGGAGGATGGGGGAGGAGGACGAGGGTAGTTAATAAATGGTGAAGGAAAGGAGGAACGCCAGTCCCAAATGATGATGGTGATGATGACAATGGTGATGACGATGACGACGAGGAGGGGGCGGGGGAGGAGGACGAGGGTGAATAGGAGGAGGAAGGGCCCAACCACGCGAGAGAGGACGGACGGTCAAATGTAGGGGACGAAGCAAACCAGTCCGAGAGGCTCGAAATTAAGTACGCTGCCCTTCGAGCTGGAGGGAAATAGTCCGACTCGCACGAGGCATGGTTCTGGCGCGGGGGGGGCGCAAGAAGCAAGCCCATCGGCGGAGCAAACGCATCACTCTGGCGAAGTAGCTGATGTGATCGCGCGATTATAACCGAAGTCCTGCCACGGCATGTGGTCAACGTATGTTTGGGGCCGTGGCAGACAATAAAAACAACCTCATTATACAACGTGGCCGACGGAGACGGCTCAGACGGTATTGGCCGAAATTGCAACTTACGTAAGCGCGAAGGAGGCCCGTGGCACGGAAGAGGAAGTGGGGAGGGGGGGGCATGAAACACGCAGCAACGCATCCCGGAGCGGCTGGCATGATACTCATTCCGGCAGCCCTGCTAATCACGCGAGCCGCCGGCGCAGCGCGGCGCGCTGGTGGGCTCGGCCCCCCGGCCTGCTTCTTGGAACCCGGCGACGCGAAGCGTCTGCGCGGTGACCCAGCCAGGGCCAGGGGGGGCCGGCAGCGCTTACCACCGCAGGGCCACCGTCCCGCGCCGGATGCAAGCGATCCAACCAAGGCCCCGCGATGCCGCCCAGGCGCCACCCCCGAAAGAACTCTGGCGGCCTCGGCGGCGCCTCGCTGCGGCAGGCCCTTCCGCGCAAACCAGTGACCGTCAGGCGCGCTGCTGAGGGGGCGCCTGCCAGGCTGGCGCGCCAGCCGCTGCCACGTGAGCTGGCTGGGTAAGCGGCTGATGCCCGCCGCGGCGCCCCGCCTTTCCAACGCCAGCGCGCCCAGCCGCCTTCCAGCCCCGAGCTCTCGCGTTTGGCCCGCAGCGCGGCCAGTTTCACGGCCGCCAGCAGCCGCTAGAGCACCCGGGCGGCATGCAGCTGCACCTGCCGTTGCGTGCAGGGCGCCCGCGCGGGGAGTTGAGCGCGCGCCGCGGCCCACACCAGCTGGTCAGCGTCCGCGTTGCCAGCGTGATCCTCGGGCGCGACGCCCCTGGCCCCCGCGGCATCCGCATCGAGGTGCCCTCTCACCCAGCGCGCTGTGATGTAGCTGCTCTGGCAATGCGGCGTCAGGAGATCCCCAAAGTCCGAGTGCGACACGTAGCGCGAGACGGAGATCAGCTCTAAGGGGGACTCATCCTCGCTTATAGCGTATCTCCCTTACGCAATTTCGCGAGACGCCAATGGGGGGACGAGGACGAGGAGGGAGTGGTGGTGATCCTGCTGCTGCCGATGATGATGAGCGAAACGAGAGAGGAGGAAACAGGACAATTGCGATGCACAGGGCCAAGGGAGGAGGAGCAAGGGGGAAGGGGGACGAAAGGTGGATTGACGACTGCCGTCTGCCCTCCATCCCGCCTGCCCTCCCTCCCTCCCTTCCTTCCCCCCTCACCCCTCTTGCCCGCCACGGGGCTCTCCACTCTCTTTCCTCCCTCTCCCTCGTTCCCTCCCCAGAGAAAACGAAGAAGAAAGCAGGATGAAGACAACTTCGGACGAGGATGAGCCGGGCACTCCTGAGAGCCGGCGGGTCTGAAAGGCGCATCGGGCCCCGCGGCCGTCCCAGAGCGCTCCTGCATGCTCCGAGACGCTCTGGAACGCTCTGGGGCGACTTATCCGCATCCTAGGCCCTAGGCCTCCCTCTCGCCCTCCCCTCCTCACATCATGGCCAGCAAACTGGCCACTTGCAACATTCGGAACTCCTGAGCCCAAACGTGTTAAACGTATCGCTCTGACTCCCGTCTGATTCAGCCGTCCTTTCGCCGCTGGGGCCGCCGTAGTTTCCCTTCTGTCGAAGGCGAGAAGCGCCGAAGGCCCCTTTCCTGGAACGCCGTGTATCGATGTGAGCCATGCCCCTCCCAACAACCACTCCTTCTTGTGCTCCCACTTCCTCTTGTGCTTGGCGCCCTCCATGTGCTTCGCGACAATTTCGGGCACCGTCATCGGCCCCTGCGCGAGGCGAGCCGCTGAGCAATGTGATTTGCTTGTTTGTTTGTTTGCTTGAATTCTCACTTTTGGAAAATAGTCATTGTTGATCCCCTCATCTGGTAACCAATGTATGTTGCAATTGAGGTGTCCCTCCCGGGGCCCGCACCATGTTTCCATGAGGGAAAGCGTGGGGTCACCAAACTGTGCCCTTGGCCCCAAAACTAGAACAACAATGGTTTCCGCCTGATAATTCCTCGCAATGAATTCCACAATCGCGCTCTCGCGCGGGACTTCTTCATACATTATACAGGAACCGCGTTCTCGCATGGGACACCCTCGCAATTTACTCCAGCGCCGCGCCCTCGACACGCAGGAATCACGCTCTCGCTGTGGATTTCTAGCGATTCACTTGGGCATCGCGTTATCATTGGAGACTTCCTCGCGATTCATGCAATACTCACGCTTCAGCAACCCGCTTGCTCGACCTGGCCGCATGCGCCCGCCTTCCCGACCCGCCCGCTATGGGTCTGCCCGCTTGA